ATTCTTCTCTAGCATTAAAGTCGTCACCGTCATTGGCTTCATGATCTTCGGTATTTGCATTAATGCCGGCGCAGGCCAGCAGGGCTATTTAGGATTCAAGTACTGGAAGGATCCCGGCGCATTCGCTCCATACCTCGTCGAAGTCGTCGGAACTGATAATATTGCCACTGCAAAATTTATCGGATTCTGGGCTACTCTTATCCAAGCCGGCTTCTCATATCAGGGAACCGAATTAGTAGGCATCGCGGCGGGAGAAGCAGAGAACCCACGAAAAGCCGTACCAGCAGCAATTAAAAAGACCTTTTATCGCATCCTTTTCCTCTTCGTCTTGACAATCTTCTTTATTGGCATTCTAATCCCATACACAAACCAAGACCTCATGTCACAAGCCGCCAACGCTTCCGCGTCTCCATTTGTCATCGCCGCCAAGCTTGCCGGCGTCAGGGTCCTCCCAAGTCTCATCAACGCTGTCCTCCTCACTGTGGTTATCTCCGCTGCAAACTCCAATGTTTACTCTGGCAGTAGAATACTAGTAAGCCTTTCCAGGGATGGGTGTGCCCCCAAATCCTTCTCCAAGATTACTAAGGGTGGCGTACCCATCGCGTGCGTCCTCCTCACCGCCGCCTTCGGCCTTTTCGGCTTCCTTAACCTCTCCAACAGCGGGGCCGTGGTCTTCGAATGGTTCATGAACATCAGCGGCATCGCTGGCTTCATCGCATGGTCCTGCATTAACGGCTGCCACCTGCGCTTCATGCGTGCGCTGCGTGAGAGGAATATTAGCCGCGATGCGCTGCCTTACAAAGCACCCTTCCAACCCTACCTGGCGTGGTACGGCCTCTCCTTTAACATCCTTATCATCATTACTCAAGGTTTTAAGGCCTTTTTACCCTGGGAGCTAAGCAATTTTTTCGTCGCATATATTAGTCTATTTCTCTTCATCATGTTGTATTTTGCACACAAGGTTGTATGCCGCACGACCTTTGTTAAACTGAGGGAGGCGGATGTGGATACGGGCCGGGTGGTGGTTTATACAGATACATCACAGCCAACTAGAGTGCCAACGACGACGTGGGAACTTGTTCGGCATCGAATTCAGAAGATGTTTTTCTAATGATAGACATGATGCTTTCTTATTACCTCCTTGCAATCACCTTTAATTTTTCTTTGCATGCTGTTGATATTTATATTTGTATTTTTTGTTTTGTTTTGTTTTGTTTAATTTTTTTGTCAATTGAATTAATGAATTATTTTTTCCGTTTCTTGCTGTCCTTTTGCTTCTGTTTCTTTGCTTCCGATTTTTATATGCATTTCTGCTTCGTCGCCTGTCTATTGGTTGAGAACTTGATTCCTTGAATATCTCGAAGGTGTAACTAGGATATCTCTCTAGTGTGCAATTATTCTATGCTCATATGTCTGATTTTCAAGTGAATAATTGCTTGATGCATATTTGTTGCATCAGCAATATCCGCCAATATGGTTCACTATGCGATTCATATGGTTTCCTTGTTCTGTCCTTGTTTGCTCCTTAGGAGTTGCTTAAGGGTGTGTTGAGATGAATGGGTTGATTGGTTCCAATATACAGCACCTTTATTCAAATGAATGGATCAATTGTTTTTGCATAAGCCTTTTTGTCATTTCCTTTTTCTTCAAAAATCCGTCTCTGCTGGACAATCTATTACTTAAGACCTTTGACTGTTTATTATCTTTCCATCCGATGGTGAGTGGAGGGTGTGTTAGAAGATGTGGTGGAGATAGTACTAGCCCTCAAGACAGTTTCGTCCTAGAAGTTTAAAGCACAGTTTTCAAGTAGCTGAGACGACCCGGTTATGACTAGGTAAGTAGACTGAGGCTAGGGATCCACGGCTATATATTGGCCGCTGATGCCCTTTGAGCAGTTCAACTACAGCATACCAGTGTGGAAAGTTGAGCCACAATTTCATTTGTACAGCAAGTTTGGCGCGGAAAAGCAAGTGTTTTCACAGTGGTATAAGTTGGAAGAGTTACAGCAGAACCGCTCCCATGTTGTATATATTGGCTTGAAATATCATGCATGGATGGCTCATGCGGTCATAAATGGCTGAGAAGCGGAGAAAGGACCAAATATGTATTGAGACAACAGTGAAATTGATAAAAAGAGAATTTTGTTACATGTTTGTTCCGGAACAACAATATAGAAAAATTGCACCACATCTACCTTCAATGCAAGCGCACTTTTCTGTTGACTTTCATTCCTCTCCTTAACTCCTCAATCCAAGCAAAAGACTGGTGCTCTTTCCGCCCTCATTTCCCTCACCACCACCGGGGAGATACGTTACGTTGGGATTGGAGGCTAGTGTCTGCGCAATTTCCCGACTGGCATCGATTCTTCGGATCTGAATCAAGCCATCACCAGCCTTCATAACAGCCTTGCTAATTATATCAGCACTCTCGGCCTCTCCTTCAGCACGGATAACGTTAGCCTGTCGCTCCTGCTCAGCTTTTTCGACAATGAATCTCGCCCGCTCAGCATCCTGCTGCGCGATCTGCTTCTGCTCAACGGCACGGGTGAATTCGCGGCCGAATGTCATGTGGGTGATTGAGACGTCTTCGAGGGCAATGTTAAATTCTCTGGCACGGCGCATGAGGTCGTTGCGGATTCTGTTCGAGACTGCTTCACGCTGCGTGATGAGTTCTGCGGCATCAAATTGGGCAACAATGGACTTTAGAACTTCGTTGCCAATGGAAGGGAGGACTCTTTCATCGTAATCTTGGCCGAGGGACTGGGCAGATCGCACAGTTAGCTATATAGATGAAAGATCAAGGAGATGTCCGAATGTGAGTGTAAATACCTGATAGATCTTTGGTAGCTGTTGGACTTCGGGGCGATGTAAAACCCGTAGTGTCAGGCTGACCATCTGCAAGTCCTTACTACCGGTTGTCGTTGAGATGTTTCTGGGCTTTGTTCTGACATCGTAAATGATGCTTTTCTGTAGCCAGGGGATGAGGAAGTGCGTTCCCTCATTGACGACTTTTTCCTGAACTCCGGAGAGTCTGTCAAAGATGACTGCCCGCGTTCCTCCCTTGACATCGTAGAGTGATGCCTGGACGAAGGACGCCCCGATGGCCACGGGGATGCCCCATTTATAAACGGCCGCAAGAGCATTCGCCATTTTCTTAGAAGCTGAGAGTGGATAGGGAAAATGTGTTGCTCCTGAGGAGATATCAACAGCATTGCATTGGTTTGCTGATTTTATGAAGCTAAACTGTATCGGGACCTGCGTCAGGTGATCCTGGAAGCTCTCAACTTTTGATCGCAAAAGAAGCCGACAACATCTGTAGAGATACGTATACATTCACATACACACGTACACACTCTTGCGTTATAGGCAGCGTTTCTATCTGTCGACTGCCTGAAAGAGCTGAATCAATTGTCTACATAAATTTCGTTTCTCTATCCGGAACGATGGGCGGTGGACATCCAGATCCCAAGCGTGGAATGTAAGTCCCTCTACCCCAGTTGCTACTCCCGTGAATCAATTAGAGGCATACTATTGTTCTCTTCATGAGAATTGACACAACTGACGAAAACTGACGATTGGCAGATATATTGGAACGTTCGGGGACTTTGGTACGTTTTGAGGCCTATTCCATTGCGACAATATGCGAGTTTATCGCCCCCGCCTCGTCTGATACAATCAAAAAGGCCCATTCTTTGGCTGCCTTTCCGCCTATATCTTGTGTATCAACTGTACCTGACATACTAATGACTGTCTCGTGATGATGCAAAATAGGCTGCCCGACTCCGCAGAAAATATCTACCTACGCTTTGTCCCCCAACCGACAGCGTCCCTTCGCTGGTGCTTTGTACAACGCCATTTTCAACACATGGAGAAGATCTCGCAATCAAGCACTTTATGTCATTCCCCCCTTTGTCGCGGCATATGCCCTAATGAGCTGGGCTCAAGAGAGGTTCGTGTTCCCATCGTGAGGGTTGATCTGGATTGTTTCCGCCTGTATTGCGTGTTTGTCAATCTTCTACGCGGTTGCTGACTGACATGTACGCATCTACAGGAATGAATATCTAAACTCTAAAGCCGGACGATTGGCAGAGGGTGGAAGCGAAGAGTAGAGATCATCCTTACTATAAAAGGTTGGGAGGGGAGCCTCATCAGTCATTGCGCTGTATAGTACACATATTATTAGAAAGCAATCGACTTGTCCAAATCATTTCATTTTCTATATAAAATAAGATAAGAATATTTTTTCGAATTCCTTTCTCTGTTTTGATTTTTCCCCCACCATTTCAACATCGAATCAACTGGATAATATCGAAAAAGGTGAAAGGCATCCTGTCTATATTCGAGAAAAAAAAATCAACAGATGTGCGGCCTCAAGACACAGCCTATCAACATACAAGTTAATGTCTTGATACAGCCAGTTCGATATATGGTACTACTGGGCCTGACAGCCTCAAAGCTATACGTTTCGTTAAAAACAGATGTAATGAACCCGCACGCCCCAGAATTGTACTCTCATATGTCAATCTTCCATACTCGACGGCGAAAACAAGGAGGAAAAGCATAAAGAAATTCGACATGCTCAATTATTATAATTGTCCAAGTTGGGACTCGAACTCAGGGCCTTTTCGGATCAAAGAATTTGCTGACTAATCCACAATAGGCTTAGGGCGAACGGTTAAGGTGACCAGAAATCGAAAATGAAATCCAGCGAACTTGAAAAAAAAGTAGAACAGGAGCAAAACTTTGCGCCCACATCTCCCATTTATATTCTCTTTAGCCAACAATTGCCATTGCTTGATATCTTACACTCTCGTACCTGCCAACAACCTATAATCCGACCAGGTGTCCTTTTTGCATTTAACAATCACAATGGCCAAGGACAAGTCCGATAGAGAGAGAAAGAAGGAGAAGAAGGAGAAGGAGAAGAAACGCTCCGAGACCGATGGTGTGCACAAGAAATCTAAGAAAGATAAAAAGAAGGATACAAGTTTGCTTGCTGAAGCCGTGGAGAATGAATTGACCACAAAGGTCCTAGAGCATCTGGAAAAACCCGATGCCGAGCCAGCTCCTACCGTTACCACCGCTGAGACCACTTCGAAGAAACCTGCTCCGGAGCGAATTGTTGGCTCTCTCGTTCCGTTTGCAAATCCCCTAGCCCAAGATAAGGTTGCAAAGAAGGTGCTCAAGAGTGTTAAGAAGGGTATGTCCAGTTCATTACTCGTTGATTCTATTTTTCAGCCGCTCGACCCTTCCACGATGTGGGTAGAATACAACGAGACACAGCTATGACCAGTATCGTGCGGTCAAATGATGTTGATGGAGTTCGTCTCCCAAGCAATTATTTTACTAACAGCAATGAATTATCGTCCTCTGCAGCTGCTGTAAATAAGTCTCTCAAACGTGGCGTGAAAGAAGTCGTCAAAGCGCTCCGGAAATCACCAGTACCTGCAGCAAACGCCGTAATCGACACCCCAACCGCTGTCGTCGTCCTCGCAGCGGATATCTCACCCATGGACGTCATCTCACATATTCCTGTTCTGTGTGAAGACCACGGAATCCCTTACGTTTATGTCACATCAAGAGCTGAGTTAGGAAGTGCCGGCGCCACCAAACGACCTACAAGTGTTGTCATGGTGTTGCCACGATCAAGCGCAAAGGGCAAGAAAGACAAGGACAAGAAGGATAAGAAGGATGGCGGAGACGGGGAGGATAGAGAATACTATACGGAACTTGTCAAGGTTGCGCAAAAGGAATCGAAAAGGGTAAAAGTTTAGAAGATACAAAATCCACGCTCAGACGGGCTGGGCTTTCTCACGCTTCTTTTCCCCCCTGGGCTTTTGCGGACAACCACACACTCCTCCTTTTCATGTATCCCTTCGTTTGTCTGTTACCGTCCTGGATTAACCATGGCGTCATGTGACTGTTTATCGGGCTTAATTTTCTTCACATATGTTTTTCTCGGCGTTCATAAATCGGATATAAAACGGGCGGAATGAAATACCACTTTTTGAGAGGGCTCACTTTCAATATTGGCTTACCCACCTATGACGTTTTTTGATATTCATTGGACTAGAA